CCCATGTCTGAAATGTACTCTCCTGGCATCTATTAGGCCAGGAGTTGTGAACTTTTTTTTCTGTCAAGGGTCATTTGTGTGCCAAACAAAATTATCACCTTAAAAATTAGCCTGCTATAGATTTATCAGGTTTTAAGTCCTGCCTGTAGTTGCCTTGGCTGGGCCACACCAAATGATTCTGTGGGCCTTATAGGACCTACGGGTCAGACATTCCCTGACCCTGTGACTAGGCAAACACCTATTCTTCCTTCCAGGCTGGGCTCAGGAACCACACTTCTGTTACCACCAGAGGGCCCTCTTCCAATGATTCCCTATCTTCCCACTGTACTGTTACTATTTATTATGCATCTGCAGCCTATTAGCAAGTTCCATGAGGACACACGAGAAGTTGCTTTTCAATGTTTCTTTAACTTAAGTCCATTCATCCACTGATTGAGAATTATTTGTAGGGGCCGGCGCCATGGCTCACTTGGTTAATCCTCAGCCTGTGGTGCCGGCATCCCAAATGGGTGCCGGGTTTTAGTCCCGGTTGCTCCTTTTCCAGTCCAGCTCTCTGCTGTGGCCCAGGAGAGCAGTGGAGGATGGCCCAAATGCTTGGGCTCCTGCACCCCCACTGGAGACCAGGAAGAAGCACCTGGCTCCTGGCTTCAGATCGGCACAGCGCCAGCCATTGTGGCCATTTGTGGAGTGAACCAACAGAAGGAAGACCTTTCTCTTTCTGTCTCTCTCTCTGTCTATAACTCTACCTGTCAATTAAAAAATTTAAATAAATAAAAATAAAAATTATGTGTAGGCTTATTATGTTTTTACATATGAGAATCAGTATTAACAGAGCTATGCAAAAATCATCAGCACTTGACCTTTTTATTTTCAGATAAGAAACTGTGTACTTACCATAGCTAATGAGGTACTTGGAATGGGAAAGTCTTAAAAATAGCCAAAATTGGGGCCAGTGCTATGGCAAAGCAAGTAAAGCTGCTGCCTGCAGTGCCGGCATACCACGTGGGCGTGGGTTCGAGTCCTGGCTGCTCCACTTCCAATCCAGCTCTCTGCTATGGCCTAGGAAAGCAGTGGAAGAGGGCCTAAGTGCTCAGGCTCCTGCACACATGTGGGAGACCTGGAAGAAGCACCTGGCTTTGGATCGGCCCAGCTCCAGCCGTTGTGGTCATTTGGGGAGTGAACCAGTGGATGGAAGACCTCTCTCTCTGCCTCTGCCTCTCCATAACTCTTTCAAATAAATAAGTACATTAAAAAAATAGCTAAAATCATGCCAAACAGTGCCAAACTGTGCAAAACATGAAAATAAAGAGCTAGAGTTTCCAAGACAAGAGACATGTTATTTGGGGCCGGCACTGTGGCACAGTGGGTAAAGCTGCCGCCTGCAGTGCCAGCATCCCATATGGGTGCCGGTTAGAGTTCCAGCTGCTACACTTCTGATCCAGCTCTCTGCTGTGGCCTGGGAAAGCAGTGGAAGATGACCCAAGTCCTTGGGACCCTGCACTCATGTGGGAAACCTGGAAGAAGCTCCTGGCTTTGGTCGTTTCAGGCATTTGGGGAGTGAACCAGCAGATAAAAGACCTCTCTCTGCCTCTCCTTCTCTCTCAGTGTAACTCTGACTTTGAAATAAATTAATTAATTTAAAAAAAAGACATGCTATCTCTTTTTTTTTTTTTTTTTTTTTTTGACAGGCAGTGTGGACAGTGAGAGAGAGAGACAGAGAGAAAGGTCTTCCTTTGCCGTTGGTTTACCCTCCAATGGCTGCCGCAGCCGGCGCGCTGCGGCCAGCGCACCGCGCTGATCCGATGGCAGGACCCAGGAGCCAGGTGCTTTTCCTGGTCTCCCATGGGGTGCAGGGCCCAAGCACCTGGGCCATCCTCCACTGCACTCCCTGGCCACAGCAGAGGGCTGGCCTGGAAGAGGGGCAACCGGGACAGAATCCGGCGCCCCGACCGGGACTAGAACCCGGTGTGCCGGCGCCGCTAGGCGGAGGATTAGCCTAGTGAGCCGCGGCGCCGGCTCATGCTATCTCACTATTAGGTAATCTTACTGCATTAAAGTATCTAGTACAAGATGGGTCTCCGAGAGTCACTGAACAGATTTAACAATTATATTAAGATTAGCATTTAATCATTAAGTACGTATCACTTTAAAAAGTACTTTACATCTATTATTCTTATGTGGTATCAAGAAAATATTAAGCCAGTACCACACAACAAATCTAAAACCAAAATAGTTCTAGGCTACAATAGTAATCAAGGCACTAACGTGACCTAGTGGATACCAGAATTCATTCATTCATTCATTCTTGACAAGTCTTTATTGCTAACCTAGAATATACAAAGAATTTCTACTCCTAGGATGGAAGAAATATTCACTCTGCAGGCCTGCTAAAGCAAAAAGGAAGTTATCACTCTTTAAAGAACAGGAATCAGACCAAAACATTTGTCAAATTCAAAGACGAGTTAAAAGCCCAAAAATTCTATCAAAGAACAACTCTAAAGTCTGACTTACTACAGCACTGAATCAGTCCTGTTCATGCTTAGTTCGACACTTCCTCTGTCCCAACAAGGCTTTGCAACCACTAGGAAAGTGATTAGTTCCTGTAGTTCCAAAATAGCCAAATTTTTAAACTGTATTTATTTGAAAAGCAGAATACAGAGAGGGAGGGAGAGACAGAGTTCTTCCATACACTGGCTCACTCTCCAAATGATCCAACAGCTAGGGCTGGGCCAGGACGAAGCCAGGAGCCAGTAGCTTCATCCGGGTCTCTCACATGGATGCAGGGGCCCAAGAACTTGGAGCATAGTCTGCTGCTTTCCCAGGTGCATTAGCAGGGAGCTGGATGAGAAATAGAGCAGCTTGGACTTAAACAGGCATTCTTATGGGATGCTGGTGCTTCAGGTGATGGCTTAAACTGCTCAACCACAACATCGGCTCCCAAAGAGCAAAAAAAATTTTTTAAAGATTTATTTTAAAAAGATTTATTTAAAAGTTCAAGTCCTGGCTGCTCTACTTCTGATCCAGCCCCCCTGCTAGTGGCCTGGGAAAGTAGCAGAGGATGGCCTAAGTGCTTGGGCCCCTGTACCCTCGTTGGGGACCCAGAGGAGGCTACCAGCTTTGGGTCTTCCCAGCTCCAGCCACTGTAGCCATTTGGGAAGTGGGCCAGCAGATGAAAGACCTGTCTCTCTCCCTCTCTTGGTCTGTAACTTGGCCTCTCAAATAAATAAATCTTAAAAAAAAAAAAGAAAAAGAAAATTAAGAACCCAATTTTTCAAAGTTACCTCAAATTAACCTATTCACCATACAGACTGTATATGCTTCCAACAGGCTCCATGCAAATCAATTTTTATTGTGCAACCTTGTTTTGTAGAATCAAATAAAATTTTACAAGTAAACTGAAACAAGGTGCAATTAAAAACATGCAAACTCTCCTGGCTAAAGGGAGACATCTAGAGGCAAAAGCTTAAAATTGGGGCCTTCTTACATCTTTGGGATGGGATCTTGGAGGCAGCCATAAAGGAGCCTTTTAAAGTTCTTTTCACTTAGCAATTATTCTCTAGCCATGTGGTTTGTGAATTCAATCCACCAAATCAAATACTGCCTATGTTAAGCTATTACTTGCCATCCAAAATGACAATATTCCCTAAATCCTAAGAGGCTCAAGGAGATCTCATTCATATTCTGACTTTAAATTTCCTCATTCAATTGTTGGTTCTATTGGAAGAATAGCACAGGAAAATGATTGAAATAGTTATCACTAAAATAAGTACAGAGAGAGGTAAGATTAACTTGGTTCGTAACAAAAGCTCAAAACACATAAAACACTCTAAGACCCTCAAAAGATCAAGGCAGAAGAAATGATATCAAATTTAATGAAAATACCGCCTCACAAAACACTCACCAATTTGGTTGATCTAATCAGAAAGATCTTTAGTTCATGTCTTTGTATCTACAACTAACTCAAATGCCTTCTGGGCCAAATACAACTCGCTCTGTAAGTAGCTGAGTGAAAGGCATCAGGAGTGGGGTGAAGATGGGGTGAATTTCAGAATGCACCCCCAAACTAAAGGCATTCCATGCTTTTCCCTCTCAACCCTAAACCGGCCACAGTACCCACCTGCTGCTAAGTCTCCATTTGCTACACTTCATCTACAAATTGACCCTACTTCCATCCCTAATGCCTGATAACGCATATCTAAAACACAAAAAGTAACATCGAATGTGCACATAAAAATGTCTGGAGTAATATACAAGCAGGTGTTAAGAACAGCTATGTAGAAATGATGAGATTTTGTGTTGTCTTCTTTTTGTAATTGCATTGATTTCTAATAAGAGAAAAAAGTAACTTTTAATTAAAAAAAAAGTATCATCAAAAGCCACAGTAGGGGCCGGCACTGTGGTGCTAGAGGTTAATCCTCTGCCTGCAGCACCGGCATCCCATATGGGCACCGGTTCTAGTCCCAGCTGCTCCTCTTCCAATCCAGCTCTCTGCTGTGGCCTGGGAAAGCACAAGAAGATAGCACAAGTGCTTAGGCCCCCGAACACACATGGGAGAGTAAGAAGCACCTGGCTCCTGGCTTTGGATCGGCACAGCTCCGCCCATTGCAGTCATTTGGGGAGTGAATCAATGGAAGGAAGACCTTTCTCTCTCTCTCTCCCTCTCATTGTAACTCTAGCTCTCAAATAAATAAATAAAATCTTAAAAAAAAAGTCACAGTATACCCATGGTATACCCAACAGGGCCCTCAAAAACTGAAACTGGTAATGACAGGACAAACAGCAAGTGAGTATTTGAATATCATATTAATCAAGGAGAAATATCTGAGTGGCTACATGTCATCACTGTGCTATATATTCAAATGTCATTCTATTTTTAAGTAGGAAAAGAAGATCACCAGCAATGAAATGCTACATTTGATGAAATGAGGCAAGTGAATTAAATTAAAAGCTTGGGCAAACTAAGCTGTCTCCTAATTCCTTCCCACATTTCACAACCTTACCATAAAGATCAGGTCCATGAGGAGTAAAGACATTATACAAAACAATGTTGAGTGGTGCGATCACTAACTTCCCGTAATAGTAGCTGTCAATGACCACAACAGGCACCTGAAAAAAGAAAACACAGTGATTGTAGAATTTTGCTCTGGAAACATTCTCAAAATGCTCACAGAATATGACTGAGAAGGAAAAATAAAATGAACTCCTAATGTTCCGTTTATCACATTAGAAGTTGCTTTTATTACAACTTTGGAACAGAACGACTCACCAGAAAGAGAATAAGGGCCACCAGTGACCAGTGAAAGAAACTCTTCCACCTTCGTTTCATGACCAGCAAATCAAAGGCAATGGGCAAACTATACAACAGAGAAACAGAAATTGGGGAGTTAAATAATAACTTGGGTCAGATTCACACATACCTCATGCTGAACTGAGAACAAAACGCCTCTACCAGTTACACTGAGGGAAGAATGCTGAGATATGCAGGGATGTCTTTGCAAAAATACACTGATCTCTTCACAGGACCCATCAGGGAGCTATGTAGTTCACAGATGCACAGCAAACAGAAACACTGTGCTGCCGGAATGAACTCCATTTAATACCTATTGATGTGTAATGGACATTTAAAAACTATCACTATACATGAATGTGCCCTACTATCAAATACCCAGCCTGTAGAAGAAAGAGGTATTCATTTCTTTCTCCTGTGATTTATTAGAATTGTAGTAATAATATTAGAAACTTAGACTTCAATTCTGATATATCCCCTTCCAATACTATTTGTTCTTCTTCCTTTTACTTAACCCAGTCTAGCAAATGGCATATATGTGTTGCCCTCATTTCAATTATTTCTGGCCAGGGCCAGCGCTGTGGTGTACTGGGTAAAGCCACTGCCTGCAGTGCCATACGGGCACCGGTTCGAGTCCCAGCTGCTCCACTTCCAATCCAGCTCTCTGCTATGGCCTGGGAAGGCAGTGGAAGATGGCCCAAGTGCTTGGACCTCTGCACCCAAGCAGGAGACCCGGAAGAAGCTCCTGGCTTCAGGTTGGCACAGCTCCAGCCTTTGTGGCCAATTGGAAGTGAACCAGCGAATGGAAGACCTCTCTTTCTCTGCCTCTCCTTCTCTCTCTGTGTAGCTCTTTCAAATAAATAAATCTTCAAAAAAAGTATTTCTGGCTTAAAGCCTTGTTATTAAAGCTATGACACAGAACAAAGTACAAGATATTACAGAGTTAGAAACAAAGGAATGATAGAATCACATTTGCATTTTAGGAAGGTAAAAGAGACTGGAAATCATCTAGGAGGCTGTGCAGTGACCCAAGACACAGAAGGGTGAAGAACAGTCAGATTAAAAGGACAGTCAGGAGATACAACAAATAATAGGATGTGTGAGAGAGGAAAGAGTCACATAATTCTCAGGTTCCTGGCTCCGTACTGAGTAAGTGGTGGTGCCCTTTGCTGGGACAGAAGCACAGGTAAAGGAATAGGTATGGAGGAAGGAACTGGGGATATGGGTGAAATTCAAGAAAGAAGATTAAGAATAGACACAAAAATATGGTGATCATCATAATGGTTGAGTAATAGCACAAAGTACAGAAGAGGGACTAGAATAAAATCTTGAGGAATATCATAATTTGAGGATGACATGCAGAACAGAAGACTGAAGGTGAAGAAACAGACTTTAAAAAGCAATTAAAGATTTAAATGGCCTTTTCTCTGGCTTAGTAACTACTCTTCTAAAAATTTACCCAAGATAAATTTCCACAAGTATAAAAAGACACACATACAGGGGCCGGTGCCATAGCGCAGTATGTTAATCCTCTGCCCGCGGCGCCAGCATCCCATATGGGCCCTGGTTCTAGTCCCTACTGCTCCACTTCCAATCCAGCTCTCTGCTATGGCCTGGGAAAGCAGTAGAAGATGGCCCGAGTCCTTGGGCCCCTGCACCCATGTGGGAGACTGGGAACAAACACCTGGCTCCCGGCTTCGGATCGGCACAGCTCTGGCTATTGTGGCCATCTGGGGGGTGAAGCAACGGAAGGAAGACCTTTCTTTCTCTCTCTCTCTCTCTCTCTCTCTCCCTCTCCCTCTCACTGTAACTCTACCTCTCAAATAAAATGAATAAGATCTTTTAAAAAAAAGATACATGTACAAAAATGTACACTGAAGCACCAACAGCAAAAAACTACAAACCAAATGTATACCAACAGGGCAATGCTTAGGTAGACTATGGACAGCCACGTAATAGAATGCTTTGCAACCAATATAAAGAACAATGTAAGTCTATGTGTAGAAGACATACATATGTTCAAGATAATTCTGTTTAAGAATGGAGTTATATATACATATGTATATGCATGGGCATTTATATACACAAGAGTAGTTTCTGGAAAGATACATCCATCTTTGAAGATTGGGCTGGGGGAGAAGAGAATTAGAAATTTTGTGTGTCTCATACAATCTCACACTTTTTTGTTTTAATAATAAAATATGGGGGGGAGGGAGACCAGTGCTGTGGCACAGCGGGTTACAGCCCCGACCTACAGCACCGGTTCAAGTCCTTGCTGCTCCACTTCTGATCCAGCTAGATGCTAACACACCTGGGAAACAGCAGAGGATGGCCCAAGTGCTTGGGCCCCTGCACCAACATGGGAGACCTCTCTCTGACCCTGCCTTTCAAATAAATAAAATAAAATAAAATCTTATTCAAAATAATAAAGATATAATATTTCTATAATAACCTTAACATCAAACTAAGATGTCTTTGTTTGTTTTTAATTACCAGCAGTACAGGCAAGAAGTTAAGGCAGCACAAACTAAAGAAGTGGTGATTGGAACAAAAAGTAGAAAAGGATTAAGAGACTCAACAAGATGGGGAGAAAAGATGCCAGAGTAAGAAAGAAAGAAGACTGCAGGAAACTCGGATTTTGAGCCTGGGTAAAAGGAACAATGCACAGCCTGGGTAGCCTAGGGAGAAACACCAGCTCTGGTGTCAGAAAGGCCCAGATCCAAAACCCAGCACAATCTCAATGCTATCTTATGCAATCCTGGCACCTATTTTCTTAGTTACAATGCACTAAAAATTGTATGTCTCTTGCAGAGTTGTAAAGTTTATGGACTAAGTTTACAAAGGGTTTAGCAGATGTTAATTGTCACTGTTTTTATCTATTAGCATTGACAATAATAAACATTAAGATAAATATTCTTCCATTTCCCAAAACCTTTGTAGTCCAATTGGTTCCTGTAACTTTAGGAGCTACCCAGACCAAATGGAGCTAATTCAACATTAAGATTCATTATAAGCCCTGCGATATGTGAGACGGGAACTGTTAGTTCTTACCCAAGAGCCACACTGAATGGCCAGCCTAAGATAGCCCCAGCTGCTACTCCCAGAACAGCGATCGAAGTCTTGTCCATATACCATCCAGTCATGGCTATCAACGTAGTATACATACAGAAGCTACTAGGAAGAAACGCTGCAAGAGTAAAGAAATGGAAAAATGGATGGGGGCAAGTGTTGGAGACTTATTAGGTATCAGTTACTACAACTTTACCCACAATGCAAAATGTCATTAACAATGAACATATTTTAGGTAATGTTGTATTAGAGCAGTAACATGATACTCTATTGAAAAAAAATGAAGGTAGGCATTTGGTGCAGTACTTAAAGTCACCACTTAGGATGTCTGCATGCATATCAGAGTGCCTGGTTCCAGTCCCAGCTCTTCTACTTCTGATTCAGCTTCCTGCTAATGCATAGCCTGAGAGGTAGCAGTCGATGGCTCAAGTTCTTGGGTCCCTGCCACCCATGTGGAGACCTGGATTCAAGTCCAGGCTCCTGGCTTCAGCCTGACCCAGCCCTAGCTGTTACAGGCATTTGGGGAGTGAACCAGCAGATGGAAGATCTTTCTCTATCACTCTTTCAAATAAAACAAAAATTAAAAAGTTAAAAAAAATGAAGTTCAATGATTTTCTTATTTTTTTTTACTCCTCTGCATTTTAGGTACCAACACACTGCCCTAGTTATACAATACTAACCACACCATTACTCTCCTGGCCTATACCGCAAATCCAAAATATATAGAACTTCAGGTTCTCCAGGTCCTATTTCCAGGAAATGTATATATTTCAAAAAAACTTAGGGCTATTGCCAACAATTTATTTCTGAAAAGCTTTCCTGCTGATGGTCTTTTGGGACTCTCCTGGCCCTAACCTACACCCCTCAGGAATTCTAGGAAGCCTTCTCAGGGCCAAGACGTTAGATACAGTGTACAGTGCTGCTTTGCATCCTGTATCCACAGACTGTCTAGCCTTCAGATAGCCCCCTATTTCCACATGGTTATATGCTATACACCGCAGGTTCAACATTTCCATCACAGCAACTGCTGATCCTATTGATCACAGTTTTCCTAATACCTCTGCACAAAAATGCAGATCTGCGTCTCCTGCTCCAGAACTCTGCTTCCCCTAGCACTAGAGGAAAAAATAAATCAGCAAAAACTCCAACTGAAGAACTACAATGCATAGGATTGTGATTGAACCTCGGCAAAAGGTTCAGAGGTTCTGTATCAAAGGAGGCCTTGCATTGATATGTGCCTTAACATCCTCAACTGAAATTATAAAACTGAAGACACTCCCAGGAATCTCCCATACATAACTGTCAATTTTAGAAGTATCAAAGTAACTTAAAAAAAAAAAAAAAAGTGAAATACATCCTTCCCTGAGCCACCCGAATCTGTCAATTGCAGCTGCCAATGTGGAGAAGAATCTGAAGTCCCTGCCATTTGGGGGTAGAGACCAGTCACGTTTACAGCAGCGGCTCTCAGAGTTGGCCTAGGGTGGATCCCTAAGGGCTCTGCAGAACAACACTGGTCTTAATATAGTCAATGAAGGAAATGTAAACATATCATTTGTGCTGGATACTATTTTTCATGTATATTTAGTGTGCATATTAGATTCTGTGCACACAAGCAGAAACCAAAATTGAGGTAATTATATCTAGTAATTTAATTTTTCTGGAGAACAGGGAACAGACTATCTTTTGGCAGCAGAGCAGCCCCTGGTTCAGCTCATAAAACACAAATGTTCAATGGCAACACAACTTGAAAGCCACGACTCTAGGTTGATTCTTATGCAAAATTTGTAGAAGCTTTCTGTTAAAAATAAATAAATAATGGGTAGAAAATACAATCATCAAGAATAGGGTTTAGTGGGGCTGGTGCTTTGGCACAGTGGATTAAAGCCCCAGCCTGCAGTGCCAGCATCCCATATGGTTTGAGTCCCCGGCTGCTCCACTTGCAATCCAGCTCTCTGCTATGGCCTGGGAAAGCAGTAGAAGATGGCCCGAGTCCTTGGGCCCCTGCACCTGCGTGGGAGATCCAGAAGAAGCTCTCGGCTCCTGGCTTCTGGCTTCTGGCTTCGGATTGGCCCAGCTCTGGCCATTTTGGCCATTTGGGTAGTGAACCAGTGGCTAGAAGACCTCTTTCTCTTTCTCTTTCTCTCTCTCCCTCCCCCCACCCCACTACCACCTCTGCCTCTCTGTAACTCTGCTTTTCAAATAAATAAATCTTAGAAAAAAAAAGAAAATAAAATACTTGGGGAAAAAGATCACAGATGATAGGATTTGTTTTAAAAATAAAAGAACAGGGTTTAGGACACAGCAAGTGGTTTTAAAAAAGAAAATTAATTACTTTTTTGTTCTCTAATAGCAAAAAAAGGAAGTGGGTGGCTGATATAAAAAGCACTCTGGTGGGACAATCAGCTCTACCACTCGGTAATTTTCAATTTTAGTAAGTCACTTCATCTTTCTAAGTTTCAGCGCCTTCACCTGCAAAAGCGAGATAATATCTATCTTACTTACACCTTAATGGGCAATCAAGTTAATGTAGACAGCAGCTGGCATTGTGGCATGGTGGGTTAAGCCACTGTCTACTATGCCAGCATCCCATATGAGCGCTATAGGAATCCCAGGTTCTCCTCTTCCAATCTAGCTCCCTGCTAACACACCTGGGGAGGTAGCAAACCATGGCCCAAATGCTTGAGCCCCTGCTAACCCATGAGGAAGACCCATTTAGAGTTCCAGGCTCCTGGCTTTGTCTTGGCCTAGCCTGGATCTTATCTTTATGGTCATTGAGGATGAACCAGTAGGTTG